AGCTGATCATCAATCATAACTCCAAGGTTTTTGGCTGTTTTTGAAGGAGTTATGTTTGATGTACCTAACTGAATGGTGAAATTGTGATTAAACGATGGGTTTGCTGGAACCACAAGCAGTTCTGTCTTGGCAAGATTCATCCAGCAAGAAATGTCTGTTAGACAAGCTGAGATGCGAACAGCTATCGTCTGATCATCAGGATGGAATGAGAGGTAAAGCTGAGTGTCATCAGCATAGCAGTGGTCTGAAAAGCCATGTTTCCGAATGACAGAACCTATTGATGTCATGTAGACAGAGAAGAGAAGTGGTCCAAGAACTGAGCCCTGAGGCACCCCAGTAGTTAGATGTTGCGTCTTGGACACCTCACCTCTCCAAGATACTTTGAAGGACCTATCTGATAGGTAAGACTCAAACCACTGGATTGCGGTTCCTGAGATGCCCATTGCCAATAGAGTTGATAGGAGGATCTGAAAAAAATTTTTTTTTCTCAAAATTATAATCGTAATGATTGTTGTCATTTGAGAAATTTACTTTTGCATTTCAGGTATTGCACTTTCTTCAATAAGCACAAATCAATAAAATGTGGACTCATACACGGTGTATTTGACCTCATCTAGTGTACTGATTTATTATAGGCTTTTTTATTATATAAATCAACACCAAAGACTTATGCAATCTCTCTGTCTACATTATGAAAACAGCTAAAACAAATGAAAAATATTATAACAGTGAAATTCCTAGTAATTCCACTAATTCCATAATTGCAATAGTCTTTCTATATTAAAACAACAGCAATTGAGTAAGTGTATTTATTCAGTGATCACAATCGCAGACAATACAGTCCAGATCTCATGACAGAACACAGACCGGCTGAATGAAGCTTTCATTTAGATCGCTAAACTCCAGCTTGTTTTTCAGATCATCAGCGGCGGCGATTCCGCAAAGAGGAGCGAGCGCGTGCGCATGGTTGCCAGATTGCTTCAAATAAGCAAAACACACCGGGCAGAAAATGTATGATCTTAACAGCGAAGCTCTGATTCGGGGATTTGAACTCTTGATATCTGGCAACCGCACTCATGAAAGCTCGCATAGTAGGCGTGTAGAGCAGTCTGCAATAACATTTTGTCTCCTTTTTTGATGAAAATAAAAAGTCTCTAAAAATATCTTTTTGAATACATTTTAGTCTCATGTTGATATAGTCTTAGTTATCGTTTATTGACCTTATTGTTGTCTCGTCTTCGTCTCGTCTTAGTCATGGGAAAAAAGCTTGTCAACGAACATTTTTCTTCATAGTCATAGTTAACGAAATTAACACTATTTGAGTGAATCATTGTACACTTAAATAAGTTGTTTTCAAACAGGTGTCATCTTCTGTTATGCTGATGATACTCAACAATATACAGTGGGGCAAAAAAGTATTTAGTCAGCCACCAATTGTGCAAGTTCTCCCACAGCACAGACATCGTATGCAGGGCTGAGCCTGCCTGGCCAGCCACTGCATAAGCCCTGCTGGCAATGGCTGACATCATCCTGCAGGGCTTAGAAGAATGCGCTGCAATCTTTAGCCCACGGCTCGCTGACGGGTGGAAGGCTGACGATGTTCCTTCAGGAACCACTTGTCGAGGAGGCTGGGGTCGGGCTCTTCCAGGGCCGACCACACGAGGCCTAGTTCCTCCACAGCACGTGAAAGAACGCGGATAGACTGCTCAACCGCATAGACTGAGATGGAGGGGGAGCTTCGGGCTCTTCGCCGGAACACACCCACGCGTCAGATGCTGTCAAGGACATGGAGTCGTTGACAGCTATCTCTTCCTTAGAGGCGCCGAAGAAAACCAGGCCGCTTGCGACCAATGAGGGGCGCTGATCCTCACGTGTGAAGCAAACCGGCGACATGAGGTGCTGCGGGGAGAGTAAAGTGTGCCAGCATTGGGCCGACGCAACGTCACTTGTGCCCAAGAGAGGAGCCCTGCTGTTCCTGCTTCTTTCTCCTGGGAGAAAGAGGAGTCGGGGGAACAGAGCAGGGAGGACCATCTTTGTGGGAAAAGGCAATCCGTGAACGAAGGCGGGGCATGCAAGATTCATGTCCTTGCAGTGAGGACACGAAGGTCTGGTGAGTGCAGCCTCTGCATGGGTGACGCCCAGACATGCGACACACTCCTTGTGCCCGTCAGCTGATTTGCTCAGAAATTTGCTCTTTTTTTCTTTGCAAGATGGTCGCAGGGGAAATCATCTACTGCCGGTGGCTGGCTTCAACGGCGGGAGTCGCAGAGTCAGCGAAGAGATGGTCTCGTCACTGAAGGAGAAGATTCTGATGAAATGGCGCTCTGAGCCGACTTGTATAGCAGTCGGCTCCGCCCCCCTGGCGGGCTCGAGTGCCATTGGTTTGTGCAGCTACACAAATATTAACAAATCAGGTTTCAGTAACAGAATAAACAGGAGTTTCCCCCATACAGTCATCAATGACGACGCAACGGGAGTTACCTTTCCATAGGGACCCACATGAGACGCACGCACATGTAAACACCCAACATAAACAAAGAATGAGGATAGTCAAGTTCATCGTGGCTACTGTTCATTTGTATGGTACTTTTGCACGTGCTGAGAGGATTAACCCGGAATTTACCTCAAGAAGAACAAGATGTGACGCGCACTTCATCCAGCGAACTCCATTTGAGCATGATTTTCAGGAAATGTTAAATCCAAGCGAATGATCATATATAAAGCCAGAATACCAACTCTGAAGATGCATTGTTTAATTATTGGGAAAAAAGACCTTTACGTCTTTCTTTTTTTTTGTTCTTAGTGGTGTGCACGTTACAGCTCACGTTTCAGTCAATGTGAATTAAACTGTACCTTGCTCATGTTCATCCTCCAGCTGTTTAGCCAGTTGGTTGTGCTTTAACTCCCTCAGGATTTTGACCGTGATCTTCACAGCTTCTTCTGGTCCAAAACACGCCACCAGCTTATCCACTGTTTTTAACCGATCTGCATTCTCCATTTCACACTTAGACATACACTCATGATCATTCTTTAAGTACCACTGAAACTTCTTCAGTTCTGCTTCTTCCAGCTCCTGCAGTGAGTTCAGAAGCAGCACTTTAACTGACGCCATCGCCCTTCACTGATTCACAGCTGCAGAACAAGAAGAAAAAGATTTGAAATAATTTCACTCTTAACATATGGACCTAAACTCTCAAATGTTCCCTTTCGAATGGGAACTCCATGCTGCGTCCCCTAGCGCTATGGGGATTTCCTCTTGCATGACTGGTGTCTGAAGCACGAGTCTAAACATGACAATGGCTGCGTTCCAGTCAAATTTCCCTCCATCTCGTTTACTCGGATGTACGTCATTGATTACGTTGCATGAGTGTCCACTACTGAACCCTTGGAATGGGCTGAATTGGAACGACCTAAGCCCTTGATCACTTAGAATCCGCTATTGGAGTTGGTTTATTGTTTACATTTTCCCCCTTACGAATTTGTTTGGTGCTGCATTTAATATGTATAAAGGTATGATTGGGCTGTTATAAATGTAACAAAAAAAAAGAATGATAATTTATGTATTATAGAGTTGTTTGGGGTGGGGATAAATTAAACGCCATCTGTGACGACGTCATAATCATGGGGTAGCCTGAAGTGTGCATATGAAGCAGACTCGCTCCCTTGGTCAAAATCGAGGGGTCGAGGGTCTGTCCATATAAACTTCCCTCGTCCACTTCACGAAGTGGAATGCACTTCAAAATGGCAGTTGGGATTCCCCTGAGGGGAAGTGCTTAGGGAAGTCTGCGAGCGCATGTGTAAAAGTGGAGTGGAATGCAGGGTTTCTACAGATATGAACAAGTTCAATTTAAGACTTTTTAAGACCTTTTTAATACCACCTTGTATGAAATGTAAGACCTAAACCTGTAATAGAAATACACATTATATTACATACATATATGTAATATTGAATATGTTTAATGTAAAAAGAAAACAAAATATCATTGCTGTCAAAAATTCTATTTATTATTGCGAGATACATATGAACTTTTCATATCAGCAGACAATATTCCATACAAAATATCCCCACAAAAGTACCGCATCGCCAAGATTTTTGGTGGTGCAAACAATTTATTCTGAAGCAGTATTTTTATCAGTGTTCTATCAGCTTTATACTTAATCCTGCATATTTTTATTGACCTTTACAAAGACCTATTGTTAACCTTTTTAAATGTATCTATCATCTTTCATGTCAAATTATTACAATTTATCAATAAATTCAATATACACTATAGGGCTGTTACCAGTCAGATTAAATCATTTACGCTGCAAAATTAAAACTGCAATAAATGTTATGAGATTAATATTTTAAACACATATATGAATATACAAATAAAGAAATGTTGTTACTGCCACCTACTCAACCACCAGTAGGTGGCAGTAAATCCCTTAATAAGTGAGTCATTGAGTTCATTAATTTCAACCGATTAATTCAAAACGCTGAATCATTCAGTAACAAAACACCGCAGTGTGTTGCTTGGAGATTGTGCAATACTTCTGCTGTGATCTTTGTTTGCAACTATTTTTGTTGGTGAAATAGGACAAAACAGTAAATACTGTGTCTAAAATGTAAATAATTGTAAGTAACTATTTGACTACTTAACTAGCCAACTTGTTTACTGAGCAAATCATTTGCAATCATAAGAATATTCAGCAATATAGCTCCCTTGTCATGGTATGCTACTTAATCATTCAGAGCCCAATCTGATTGTATAGATGTTTTACAAATTTTTTTTATCACAGCAACCCTATGATGCATGCATGAGATTCTGCACACAAAAAACTAATTACTACATTTATTTAGACAAACAGACATTAAGAATCAGCGTATGTATCTCAACAATGGTGACAAACAGCATATTCAGATAAACAGATAAACTCTGAGCATCACAACATATGTTAATAAAACGCATTAAAAATAGCAAAAAGAAAATAGTAAAATATAAGGAAGTACTAATAAAATTCAGCTCATAAATTATTCATGCCGCAATGCATGCTGGGAGCCATGGGTTAATTTTGATTGGTGGAAGCCAGAATGCACTGCATCATTCTTTTTTGATGGTCACCATAGTTGAGATTGATATGCTGATTCTTGATGTCTGTATGTCTAAATGATAAAATAGTTCAAAGCTTTTTATCAAAATATAGAAATGCCTCTTACTATATTTATTGTATGCTGTAGAATCACAGAGCTGCTATAATCAATATGGAATACAGATATTAGGCTCTAAACAAGATCAGTGTTTCAGGTCACAACATGATGGTATGTCAAAACATAACCAACTAAACCTAATCACATCTTCTCTTGGCTTGTTTGGCTACTGTAACTTGGTTACAACAGCCAGACAAAATCTAACATTAAAAAGTCAAGGGTCAGGAACCCAACTACAGTAAACACTAACCACCATAATGGTGAAGTAAAAATGTTGACTCTTTCCTTCAGTAATTCTGCTTGTTAACATCAGGTGTCTTTACTAATGGTCAATCATCATTCAATTAATCACTTAACCTTTCTAAGCTGTTCAGGGTCTTTTTGACCCCAAATTATATTTGCTGAAATAAAATAAAAAAGTTCCCTTTATCGAAATGGCATGAGACTTTGTACGGTTGTCAACACTTGCTAGCTCTACAACTAAAATATTAAATTGTATTGATATTTGGTTGTATGTTAGTGTAAAAAAAGTCACACTCAGGATGTTTGGGGTCTCTGGAGACCCCACATTGAAATGAATGGGGGAATGATAAAATTAATACTTTTTCTTTATAATTTGTAAAATAAAATCACTAAACCTGCACCAATGCAAAACACAAAATACACATAAATGAAGTGGCAACCCTTCCACTCATCCACAATGTGGAATGCTCTCGGTCACACACACACACCCACCCCCTAAAAATCACCCATAGACATCAATGGGAGACCATAAAAATACTGACAATTTGTCAAAAATGAAAGCTACAATGCAGAAAACACACCAAAACTGAAGGGGTGACACCGCAGCACATCCATGATGGAGGAAAAATACACAAGATCCCCACCCCCCAAACCCATAAAACCTACTCATAAAAAATATCATAAATGGCATGGCATAATTTGCTCTCTTACATATTTTGTCAAATAAAAATGAGCTACAATGCAGAACACACACAGAAATGATGGAGTGACACCACAGCACATCCACGATAGAGAACAAATGCAAACATACACACATATAACACCATATTCAGGTTTGACTGTTATTTTGTAAAAAGGTAAGGTTTTTTTTTTTTTTTACCTTTTGAGCGGTACGGTCCCAGATATGGGATTTTTATTTCTGTGCCCCTGGGAGTACGGTCCCACATATGGGATTTAGAACATTCATATGACCACAGCCATATCACCATGCAGCCCAAGACTGGTTGCCCACTGAAGCTAAGCAGGGTTGAGCCTGGTTAGCACCTGGATGGGAGACCTCCTGGGAAATCTAGGTTGCTGCTGGAAGAGGTGTTAGTGAGGCCAGCAGGGGGTGCTCACCCTGCAGTCTGTGTGGGTCCCAACGCCCCAGTATAGTGACGGGGACACTATACTGTCAAAAAACACCGTCTTTCATATGAGACGTTAAACCGAGGTCCTGACTCTCTGGTCATTAAAAATCGCATGGCACTTCTCGTAAAGAGTAGGGGTGTAACCCCGGTGTCCTGGCCAAATTGCCCCCCTATCTTTGTCAATCATGGCCTCCTAATAATCCCCATCCACTGGCTCTATGACTCTCTCTCCTCTCCACCTGTAGCTGGTGTGAGGTGAGCGCACTGGCGCCGTTGTCCTGTGGCTGCCATTGCATCATCCAAGTGGATGCTGCACACTGGTGGTGGTTGAGGAGAGACCCCCCACATGATTGTTAAGCGCTTTGGGTGTACAACAATACAAAATAAAGCACTATATAAATGCTTCATTCGGTGATGTCACATAACTGCCAAATTTAAACTATGCTTTCTCGTGTTGGCTGGGGCTGAGCCAAAGAGAGGCATGCACTGCGTTTGTCATATTATCACAACTATGCAGTGTTCTTATTTTATAGCAAATTTAATTTAATTTGCTGATGTGTTTTATTCATATCAGATACACATAGTGTTAGCAATTATAAAGTTCACCCTATTCTTCACCCAGTTCACCGGCCGATGCTTTCTCGTGTTGGCTGGGGCTGAGCCAAAGAGAGGCATGCACTGCGTTTGTCATATTATCACAACTATGCAGTGTTCTTATTTTATAGCTAATTTAATTTGCTGATGTGTTTTATTCATATCAGATACACATAGTGTTAGCAATTATAAAGTTCACCCTATTCTTCACCCAGTTCACCGGCCACTTTTTTTATGCATTTAGCAGACGCTTTTATCCAAAGCAACTTACAGTGCATTCAGGCTTTACTTTTTCTTTTTTTTTTACTAGTACTTACTTGTATTTCAGGAGAAATTGATGAATTCACGTGCTGTAAATACGACTGACAGGACTCTGAAAAACAAAATAAAAGAGATTCATCTGTCATACAGTGTTATTGTGACCGCGGTGTGTCACGTGACAAGCATGATGCATCGCCATGGAAACAGTAAGGGGACACATTCTAAAATAATGGTCGCCTTAAAAAAACTGACTCTGGGGGGACCGCTAGAATATTTTAAACTCACCAGTGAAAGGGTTAAGTAGATTGAAACAATTTTCCATTAAACCATGGCACATTGGCCATGTTATCTCCATGAATGAAAATTAGAAATGTGGGTCTTCTTTTAAGTAAATTTTCCATAAAAATTTTTTTTTTTCTATAAAAACCTCTTTTAAAAAATATGTTTACATTTATTTGTGTAAATAAAATTTCAAAATACCATAAATCCT